TTGACGGTGGATCTTTGCCCCATCCTGGTAGCCAATTATTCCTGAGCTTGCTCTATGCTCTACCTCTGATAAGTCCACCCTCCAGCTTGGACTGTATGCTCTTACCAGAGCGTCCCAGGAGATGACCTCCTTGTCGCTGACCTCTTGTGAATTTGGGAGCTGATGGTAGTGAGTGTTGGTGGCACTGAAGGAGTCTTCTGTCCTGGGACGGTATTAATGACCACCACAGGCATGTGACTGGCCGGTGGTGCCTGGACCGGACACTAGCTGTTGTTTGTGGGAAGCCAGCTCACAGCTCCGCTTCCTGCTGAAGACCCGTGTGACACCTGGCTCACCAGGCCCACCCTGTGTCCACACGCACTTGCCTGTCAAGAAGGCCATTTCCTGGCAGAGAACGGTCTTTCCGCGAGCCTTGGGTGCTCGGCAGTCCCTCTGGGGAGCGCAGCAGGACAGGCCGGGGCTTCCTACAAACACTGCCCACGGGGCCGGGCCCAGCCCAAGGAACGGGTCCCACTGCCCACCGCGCCTGCCTTCCAGCACCTTCCCCGGGGGCAGGAGCTGGGGAGGCGGCAGCCTCTTCTCTGGAATCCTTGACCAGCTGCCAACTGAAAGAGCCGTCTTCCGAGGACGATGGCGGCGGGAAAGTCCAGAGACTCTCAACTCCCAGGAACCACCCGAGGGCTGCAGCCAAAAGCTCAGGGACAGCGCCCAGGCCCTGCGGTCAAGCCCCAGGACCGGCCCCGGACACACGGACACGGACACTGGGACACACACACGGACACACACACACACACACGGACACACACACACGGACACACACGTACATGGACACACACACACGGACACACGGACACGGACACGGACACGGGGACACACACACGGACACACACACACACGGACACGGACACTCGGACACACACATGGACACACACATGGATACGGACACACACACGGACACACACACACATGGACACGGACACACACACATGGACACGGACACACACATGGACACGGACACACACACGGACACACACACATGGACACGGACACACACACGGACACACACACATGGACACGGACACACACGGACACACACACACATGGACACGGACACACGGACACGGACACACACACACGGACACACACACGTACACAAAGACACACGGACACACACACGTACACAAAGACACACGGACACACACACGAACACACATGGAAACACACATGGAAATACACACTCGGACACCACTCGGACG